CGTTTCGGGCCTAAGCCCTTCTTCAGAAATTTCTGAAGAAGGGTCGAGGCCCGAAACGTCAGCCTTCCTGCTCCTCTGATGCTGCTTGGCCTGCTGTGTTCATCCAGCTCTACACCTTGTTATCCCTTTGCAAAGAGTCACTTACCAGGGGTGGGTAGTGCACAGATTCAGGGTGACTGGAAAATAGATTACAGAGTACATGTGGAAATGTTCTTTCACCCAGAGGGTGTCTGGAATTCATTGCCTGGTTTGATGGTTAAGCTGGAAACGCTCACTCATTTAGAAAGACCTGTATTTGCAGCTGAAATGCTGTGAGAAGCAAGACTACAGCAAAGTTCTGGAAGGCGGGATTAGAATAGACAACTAGTTTTTGTTTCATTTGTAGCCAACACATACTGTCCCATATCCCCTCTATGGTTCTATCCAAGAGCTATTAGCTTTGCTTTTGTTTCAAAGTGTGGCATTTTGCCCAACACTGAGGCACACAATCGAAATTAAAATCCATTAAGTTGTTATGACCATACAAGGCCATGTATGCAGATTGGCCTGTGAACTGTCTGACTTGTTTAAACCCACTTTTATTTTCCAATTTAAAAATGATCTGTAGCAAAGCTTTAGTCTTCAAAAAGATCAGGTTAGTTTATCACATGACTAGTATTGAACATAACCAAGTGAAATGTGATACAGTGATTAGCTAAAAGGTCCTGTTGGAGTTCTGTCCATCGCACAACCTGCCTAATACAAATCAAAACTTAAGCTTGCTACTATCCCAAAGCTGTTGCAATGTCCACCCACATTAACTTACAGACTCATCCACTGTTAATTTAGTCAAGGTATTTAATTTATAAATGTCACAGCCATTCGTTTAGATGTGTCATGTTGCAACAGCTAGGACAAGCCATTTTTACATCTAGTGGATCCATTGTCAGGGAATTTCTGTGTACCCTTGGAAATTTCATTGAATTTATGAAAGGTTTCTTTTGAATTCTTCCCGGGAAAGGTCCATCACAGTCCTAACCACCAGTTCAATCTGTAAGTGCGGTTTCCGAGAAGCATTTTGAAGGATTTTTTGTCCAATTTTAAAGTCTAATTAACATTCTCTATAAAATTTTAGTGGTGACAGTTCAAAATGCATGAATGCAAATTTGGAAGAGGAAGGAAACAATAGGATAGATAAACAATGAATGTATTAGATTCAGCAGCGCCTTTTGAAAAATACATGCTAACTGCAAACTTCTGGCTGTTGTTTTGATAGATATGACTGATAACCAGGAACGGGACATTGTGTTCTTGATTGACGGCTCAACTAAAGCTGGTTCATCATTTCGTTCAGTGCGCGAATTTCTCAAAGGCTTAATTGAACAGCTGAATGTTGGGTTGAACAGGAATCGCGTTGCAGTAGTACAGTACAGCAAGGGCCCAAAAGTTGAATTTCTTTTGAACACCTATTCGAATAAAGATGACGTTCTGGATGCAGTGGGCAAGCTGAAACCTATGGGCGGAAGGATGCTGAATACTGGGGCTGCATTGAACTATATCATCAGGAATGTCTTCACAACAGCAGCAGGGAGTCGGCGAGACGCTAATGTGCCGCAGCTTCTGGTGCTTCTCATTTCTGGAAAGTCAAGTGACAATATTAAAGAGGCAGCAGGGGCATTAAAAAGAGCCGCTATAGTGGCATTTGTTATTGGGGCCATGGATGCAGATGGCAAAGAAACACACGAGATCGCATATTCCTCTAATTTACTGTTCGCTGTTCACGACTTCCAGTCTCTTCCAGATATACAGAACGAGCTGCTACAGCCCCTAAAAACACTGATCGTTGAAGTTATTAAAATGCCATCCACTGTCACCGAAGGTACTCGGGCTTGAATGATGTTCCGCACGCATTTTTGTAGCTTTCAGTGTTAAGTGTGAGAGGTGACTGAAGTAATATTTGATGACTCAGTCAGTGTATTGCTCTTTGTAGGTTGGAACATATAGAGCAGGAAGGGTGCAGGTTTGGGTGAGTCGCTCGCAGCTAATGAAGGATAAAAGAGAAACGAGTGTTCTCGCTCTAATTGTCCCAAACACTTCATGGATAGCGTCATTCACTGAAAACATAATTTCATAGTCTCAACTCACACATGAAGTATGGCCTTTTTGTTTATTATTATGGTTAATTGTTTGTTTATTGTTTATTATTCATGGGATGTGGGCATTGCTGGCTAAGTGAACATTTATTATATCACTAACATGTCCTTGAGAGGTGCCTTCTTCAACTGCCGCAGAATGTGGGGCATGGTACTATATGGACAAGGTATCAAGGGACACAGCAGAATGCCGGAGATTTAGACTGGGTCTCACTTCAGCCTCTTGTTCAATCCCTCGGTTAGTGAGATGCATCCGAACCAACGCAAGCAAACAGGGTTCAGAAAGATTTGGGAAAAACTCTTAGCATCAAGTCCCTGAGATGGAAAGAATGAAAGTAATTGCTGAGATAAATATTGAAAGACTGCAGAAATTACTGGGAATGAATGAGAACTGAATACTATAGGAGAGAGAAGAAATATTCAATTCAAGCATCAAGGAATAAATGAGTAAACCTAATGGAGAAAGAATGGTAAATGCTCAGAAAGAGGCAGAAAAGAAAAAACAGTAAGTATCATCAGAAAACAAAAGAAATGCTGAGAAAAATGATTGAACATAATACTGGGAAATACTGCACAAGACAGGCAAAATGACAATGAACAAGAAAACAGTAAGTAAATCGTGCAAAGAAAATAAACCGATATTGAGTAACAGAGTGAGATGCAAGATTAGAGAGTGAAGATGAGGAAAAAAATGAATGAAGAAAGGGAGAGAGACTGGAAGCATATTGTTGTGAGACTTATTGAGCAGTCTGAGAAATTTTCTCATGGAGCTTTATAAAACCAATAGTTATAAGGCTACACTGGAATATTACTTTTAATGTCAACTTTAGATATATGAGAATACTTTGTAGGAGTTGGGACTTCATGTTGAGGTTGTACAGGATGTTGGTGAGGTCACATTTGGAGAATGGTGTGCAGTTCTAGTCACCCAGCAAAAGGAAGGATATTATTAAATTGTAGAGGGTTCAGAAAGGATCTACCAGGATGTTGCAGGAACTGGAAGGTTTGAGTTATAAGGAGAGGCTGGATAGGCTGGGACTTCTTTCACTGGAGCTTGGGGGTTGAGGGCTGAACTTTTAGAGGTTTATAAAATCATGAGAGGCATAGACAAAGTGAATGCGAAATTCTTTTACCTAGGGTGGGGGAGTCCAAAACTCAGGGCATTTTTTAAAGTGAGAGGAGAAAGATTTGAAAGGGACCTGTGGGACAACAGTTTCACACAGAGTGTGGTTCGTATGTGGATGAACTGCCAGAGGAAGTGGTAGATGCAAGTACAGTGACAATATTTAAAAGACATTTGGACAGATATGTGAATATGAAAGGTTGGGAGGGATATGGGCCAAATGCAGGCAATTGGGACTAGTTTAATTTGGGAAACCTGGTTGGCATGGACGAGTTGGACCCAAGGATCTGTTTCCATGGCGTATAACTCTTTGATTCTTATGAAAACGGAAAAATGAAAAAGAATGAGATTTCAGGAATCTCTTTGCTGGCTGGAAACTAATGAGAGAAATACATTTGCACCTTAATTGGTCAACATTATTAAACAGGATAATTAACATCTCAGAAGATGCACAGGTATTTATGGTATTCACTAAGTAACTTTGGTGATAATTATTCTTCCTTATTTATTACAGGTAACAAGAGAGATATTGTGTTCCTAGTCGATGGCTCTTACAATGTGGGAACTTTCTTTTATTTAATTCGGGACCTGATTATCAACTTAATTCCTAACTTTAATGTTGCAAAAGACAAAGATCAAATTTCAGTGGTACAATACAGTGAAGATGCAAGGATTGAGTTTCCATTAAATGCTTACACAAACAAAGAACTGGTTTTGGCGAAAACCAGGGAGCTTCGGCTTAAAGGCGGAAGAAGACTCAAGACAGGTTCTGCTCTAGACTTTGTCAGGAGGAATGTCTTCAGTAGATCTGGTGGGGGTAGGCACCATTTAGGGATTTCCCAAATCCTAGTGCTCATTACTTCTGGAAAGTCACTGGATAATGTGAAGCAGCCAACAGAGGAGCTGAAGCAGGCTGGTGTTGTGCCATTCGTTATTGGCATTGGGAATGTAGACAGACAAGAACTACATCAAATTGCATATTCACCCAGCCTGGTTTTTCAGGTAGATGACTACTGGGGTCTTTCAGATCTGGACTTGCACCTGTTCAGCATTTCAAAGAATGTAGACAGTGTCCCAATACCACCTACTACCAGCACAGGTAACCAACCACCTTTATTACTTAGTTTTGTCTATCAGAACCAGAATTACAAACTAGCTGTTATCAGTTTTGGGTGAATATTGCTTCGCAGCAAGGCAAAGGCAATACTTTCTTTGAAGGGAACATTGGAACATTAATGAGACAGTGCACTAGGCACGAACAACGCAGAACATAACTACTGAAGCAGTTTCCATTCTCGACACTGGGACCAAAGTGCCATTGTTATAAAGTGCTTAGTTGCAGCCATTTTCATGGGCTCAGTCTCTCTGTAGAAGCCAGCAATTTCAGTTTTCATGTAACGGGTCAAAACACAATTTACAATTGCAACTACAAATGTACTCTTATTCCAAGTTGTTGATGACATTCTAAACTTTACATCCCTCTCCACAGAATAGGTTACATAAATTCACAGCTAAGTGCTGCCATATCACAGAAATCTAGTGATTTTTAAAATAAAGATTCTCTGTTGTTGGCATCAGTAAACAGTGGTAAAACGTACATAAGAGTTAACAGGAGAGATAAAGAAGGGTACAATACTTTTATACATGAATAATAAGAATATTGCAGTGTATTACGCAACGTTCACAGCATATAAGCAGGATATTTGGTCAAACATGTCCATGATATCGGGATAAGAGAAGGCCATTTAGTCTCCCATTCTGTTCTATCATCCAATGGGAAAATAATTAATTTGTGGCTTAACTCTGCATCATATCCTTTGCCAAAATCTCTTAATACCTGTGGTTACTAGGAATCTATCAATCTCAGATTTAAAACAAACCATGAACCAGTATCGGCTGCTGCTTGTGGAAGAGAGCTCTAAACTTCCACCATCCCATCCCTTGCATGTAGCAGTGTTTCCTAATTTAATTCAATCTAACTTTTTAGGTTATATCCTTTTTTAGAGAAATTAATTTTGTGCAACGTACACTTATGGCTTACTATAGTCGTATAACTATAGTGTATGTAAATGAGTAGCAGGCATTAAAATTTGTCACATGAAACGAGATGTGAGATGTGGCCCGCTGAAGTTGTGTGGATTTTCAGAGCAGTAAGAGTGCCAGCTGCTAGAAGAAGAAGCAGAAGAAAGAGATGGAACAACAACCTGGGACTTTGATTTACCAGTGTGAGTCAGAATGCCTGCAAATTTTCCATTCCTTACTACTGTGGACATGAAATGAAAGACGGTATGAAACATACTTGGAATTTCTTCCCATTTCTGTGGCAAAACTATGAAGTTACTACAGAAGTAATTAAGTAGCCTGAACAAATGAGAGTCACACATATAGGATTCTTAACGGGCTTGACAGGGTAAATGCTGAGGGCAATGTTTCTCCTTGTTGGAGGGTCTCAGACTAGAGGGCATATCTCAGAAAAAAAGGGGTGCCAAGTTAAGACTGAAGTGAGGAGGAATTTCTTCTCTCAAAGGGTTGTGAGTCTTTGAAAGTCCTTGTCACAGAGAGCTGTGGGGGCAGAGTCCCTGTGCATATTTAAAGGTGATAATGATTGGTAACACTACATATGCTAGAAGAAATTTTCAGCATTTCACAGGTTCCTAAATCATTAACCAATGAATAGATATGACAGGATTACAAAGATGTTTTTAGAGGTATTGGATTCCTTCATAATGATTATCATTTCAATGATATGTGAGATCAGCTTACTATCTGCTGAGGAGAGTTTTATCTACCCTCACGTTCAGCTTGAAATACAAGATAAAGATTCATAGGGGCCTCATTAACTCAGCAGGCCCTGAAGAAAGGAAAGAAAGATAAGCAGGCCAGTAGATGTTCGTTGAGGAGCTGTTAGCTGATGACAAGCATGTGAATGTGTAGGAAACAGTCACTGAGGAATGGGAGAAGTAAAAGCATAAGAAAATAAAACAGAACAAGAAGAAAAAAGAGGCATTTGAAGAAATCTGAAGTCACGCACATATTTGTTTTATGTCATGTATTGGTAGTGAAAGGACTTTGCTCGGATTCTGACAAGGTGAAAGCTACAGCAGAAATGAAGCGACCGATGGATGTTAAAGCAGTACAATGAATTATTGGGATTGTTCTCACTTAACATGGTATCAAGTGTGAAACTATTCAAGCTCATTGCTAACAATGTGCAGTGGTATTGGGGCACCAAACAAGAAGCAGCTTCCACTTAAATCAAACTAGCCACAATAATGCATCTTGGCCCATTAAACTAGCAGGGATATTGAATTTGAAACATGAGTGACTTGCTTTGAGTCAGGCATAGTCTTTTATTCATTCATGGGAAGTGCGTGTTGTTGGTTGGGCCAGCATTTATTGTCCATCCCAAAGTGTCCATCCCAAATTGCCCAAAGGACAGTTAAGAGTCTAACATATTGCCATGGGCCTGAAGTCACATATAGGACAGACTGGTAAGTTTCCCTCTCAAAAGGACATTAGTGAACCAGATAGGCTTTTCTGACAATCAACAACTGTTTCATGGTCATCATTAGCTTCTTAGTTCCAGATATTTTAATTTAACTAAAATTCCACCATTTGCCATAGTGGGTTTCAAACATGGGTCCCCAGAGCATTACCTTGATCTCTGGATCAATAGACTAGTGATAATACCACTAGGCCATCACCTCCACTTAAATATCGCTGGAGGGGAAGGAGTAGCTTTGTGATTAAGGAGGAAAAGTACTTATTAAACATTTCAGCTATGGCTTTTACCTCCATACGTGCAATATTTACATAGAAGGCCTTTCTATTCCCGTTTAAATTACCTGCTAGGCTCCTTCTCATATGCTCTTTTTGTATCTGTTATTTATTTTACAACTCCCCTATAAAATTTTTATACAGGGCCTCATTGTCAATGATATTATCAACCTAAAATTTATCCTCTTTCTGCTTAATCTTTCTCTGTATCTCTTTCTTCATCCAGGGATTTTGAAAATTGTTTATCCTACTTTTCCCCATGAAGAAATCTAACTTGCCTAAACTATCTTTTCTTTAAAGGGAGTCTGTCATTCAGTTAGTTTTGCCTGCCGATCTTTGATTCTAGCTTACTTGGGAACCCATTCTCACCTCAGTGAATTTAGTTGTCCTCAAACTCGGTAATTTTACTTTTCTTTGTTCTTCTACTTTTTCCACTGCTAACTTAAACCTTATGGTAATATGATCACTTTTCCATAAACGTTTTTGAATTGACATCTGGCACAGCTCATTCTTTAGAACTAGTCCCAGCAATGTCTCCTTATTTCATTAGAGCAGAAACATATTGATTAAGAAAATTCATCTGAACACATTTCCGAACCTCTAATGCTTCCAATACTATTTCAGTTAGTCTAAATCAGCATAGTTGAAACACATCATGATCACTGCCCTATAATTCCAGCACCTCTTTGAAACTTCCCTGGATATATACTTCTTTATGTCTTTCTACTGGTTTGTGGCCTGCAAAATACATCCAACATTGCATTGATAATTATATTGTTCCTTTACTGTAAACTGGTAGATTATTCCTTGACTCTTCTAGGCTGTCCTCTCTTTGCAGCACTGTAATGTTCTCCTTGGGCAGTCCAACCATCCTCCCTTATTCTTTCTTTCGTTATCTTTACTAAATACGTTGGTATGTATTTTCACCATGAGGAAGTGCTTCTTCATCCTGTCTAAATTGGTTGATGAGCCTGCAATTGGCAAGTCACATCCCCAATATGGTATTTCCCATTCTCTCAGGGGTGGGAATGAGAATGAGGCAAGATTTACATGTGTCATTCACAGAGGCAGCCAATGATTTAAATCAAGTGAGATTTTGACAGTCCAGCACTGTGAAACCTGAAATGCACACAACAGATCTTATAAAAGCAGATGCATTTTGTTAGATAGCCAGTTTACCCCTTTGGAAAGACTGCATATTTCTTCGGATATGGTTCCAGGATACCTCTGGAAGATAGGGTGTCAGGTCATTTTAGAGGAGGTAGAGTACCCTTTGGAATGGTTAGAAGTAGACTTAAGTAGTCATAAAAAGTGCATCAACCCATTAACCCTCTAATTCATTGGAGGTGTCAAAAGTGTTAAGAGAGGGACCTGCCAAGGTGTCAAGAGGACCTCTCAAAGACAACTGTTAAAAGGACCTGTCAAAGTAAAGGAAAGTCCTCTCCTTTAAGTCTTTTGAAAATGTCTGACATGTTGAAAAAAAAGATTGCTCAGTATTTATTATATCTGTTGACATAAGCCTGACATTTCATTATTGGATTACTATTGCATGACTTATTTCATGATCATCCATTATCATATTAAGTTATCTGCCATTTCATAGCTTGATTAATTGCTCCTAATGGTTATAGGTTCTTTATTTCTAAAACTTCAATGTAGTGCTGGGATACATAGATGAGTTCACACCCAGCATTGCCCACTCTTGGTCCATGATTGTCTGGCCCAAGTTCCAATAGTGCTCCCCCATCCTCCAGCCTAGATTGAAAACCAGTAACCGAGCAGCCATTTTTAAAAGTAGGGTAGATGAAGCCCAGAATTCTTCCAATTCTGTGTACCCAACCTGCATCCAGGCCCTTGTATCAAGGGATATTTCATACACAATCCTGCTCACTTTTGGGACAAGTCCCTACTATTGCCATACCACTTATCCCCAAGTGTGCCTGCGACTTACTAATTCTATTTACGACACTTCATATACTTATATATTTGCAGTGTAAGTCTAATTTAGACTATATTCTCTCTTGCATTGGCCTCACCTAATACCTTACTGATAGGATCTTCAGAAATAGGAGCAGGAATATGCCAGTCCGCCCCTTGAGCTTGCTGTGCCCTTCAATCTGACATTCCACACGTCTACGATCCTGCATTTTCCCCATTACCCTACTGATCGAAAATCCATTGATCTATCTCAGCCTTAAATGTAGACAGGATACCCACTATCTCTTTTGTTAGTTCCATCTTCTGCTCACAAATCTTTTATGTGCCTTATTTATTCTTCCTGGTACATCATGGATCTGATTCGCCCTGCCAAGCTGACACAAACCCTCCACAACAACACTGAGCAACTCCCCGTGAGATTATTTAACCTGGTATTGTTCAAATGTAAGTTGTCTGCCCTGTCCTATTACCCCCAGAACTCATCCTAGTGTCTCAAAAATCTAAAGTCCTCCCTTCCACTCAGTGTCTCCAACCATATATTCATCTTCCCTATTCATCTATCCCTTTAATCACTAGGTGAATCAGTGTCTGTTTGGCTAAGGTAAGAAAAAAAGAACAAAAGAAGCCTCTCCAATATTTTTATGTATGGTGCTTCATTTTGTTTTGCTATCATTGCACAAAAATCTTTAGAGGATGATTCCATTTACTTGTTCCAGATGGTGATAAAAGAGATATCGTCTTCCTCCTCGACGGTTCTGCTAAAATTGGAAAAGGATTTCCAAACGTTCGCAAATTTATGATGAGAATGGTAGATAATTTTGATGCTGGAGCAGAGAAAGTTCAATTTGCTGCCGTACAGTTCAGTGAGAGCCCAAGAACTGAGTTCTATCTAAATACCCACTCAACCAAGAAGCAAGTTCTGGCTACGATTAAGAAACTCAAGCTAAAACGTGGCAAAAAAATCAACATTGGCCGTGCATTGGACCATGTCATTGAGAATGTGTTCATAAGCTCAGCAGGAAGCAGAATGGACAATGCTGTTCCACAGATTCTATTGCTTCTTACTTCAGGAAAGTCCCACGATGATATTTCACAGCAGGCAAAGAAACTGAGGAAACTGGGAATCGTGCTTTTTGCGATTGGCTTGAGGGATGCTGATCAATCAGTGCTAGAACCGATGGCATATACTGCCAGCTTGGCTTTTCCTGTGAACAGCTTCCAAGGTTTGCTTAACATTCAGGATCAACTCCAGCAGATAGTGAAAACGGTGGCAGTGCAAATTGTTGAAACACCTGTCAAAGGTATTTACATAACATTTTCTTCTGACTGCCAATAGGGTAGAATTGTCCAATTGAGTAGAAGGCAAGGTAATGGAAAAATAGTCACCTTGGCTAATGTTTGAGCTGTTTTGCTTAGTGTCCAGGTTGGACCTAAGGAGATCTAACTTCTAGATGTGATCTCAGTCATATTAATACTAATGGTTTCAGGATCGCTGAATTAGCAACTGAAAACAAAAGGACCTAAGGTTTCCCCTAATCACTATCCAATGATCAAAGTAAAAATTTCAAAAGCATCCCTAACCCTTGCTACACCCAGTCTGTAATCTATAATATACCTTGACTCTTTTTTGATTGCATTTAATTTCATTCTCATCGACCTTTAGGACATTGTAAGCCATTAGTTGTGTTCTGTAGTTTATCATATTAATACCTCAATCTGAAAAAAAAAATTATTTATATATTGTGAGCTGAGTTAAACCTATGTAATGATTGAAAAAGAAATCTGCAAGATGTAGCAATGTTCTTTTTTATAAATAACCAAAACTAAGTTAGAACTAAAAGGTTAAGAACATGAAAATGTTAAAAGGATGGTTTTGTCGCAGATGCACTGGGTTGATTGAAACTTCATAAAAGTTACAATCTAATGAGTAATGCACTCACATGTAAATGCTAAAACTAAAACTTTGACGATGGACAATTGTGCACTTCATGCCAAATGAATCATATTCCAGTGTAAGCCTGCATGATTCTATTGGCATTAAAACTGTAGGAGAAACAAATGAATGTTAATTGAAGTGTATCAAATTAAATGCAGACATTTCCTTTGCCTAGGTTTCTGTTAAAGGCATTTTATTTCTTAAGATCTCCGCAACGTTCAACATTAACAACTATGGGAAATGAATGGCTATTATGTATGAGCTGTGTCAATCTGAAATTTTCAGCCAACATCCTGCTAAGTTCTGTTTCTTTGAGAGGATCCCAGGCTCTGTTGCCAATCCTGTCACTGAATTCTGCATGAGTTTGGAATGCAGGATGAGAAGACTAAACTGCCACTGCTGGAAGTGACAGAGTGGGCATATATGTGACATTTTAGATTTAGGTAACTTTTGATTGTTGTAAGCATACCCAGCATTACTCAAGAAAATAGCCAAGAGACCCTGCTTTTGTTGGGCTCCCTGTGTTTTCTTTTCCTCTTTCACATCCCCAAGAAAGAAAACATGCTGGAAGCAGGGCACCAGAACTGCACTGATTTTTCAAGCGTGTACTTTTCAGCAGATTTTGTGCTCTCATCAAGAGCTGCACTCAAAACATCAAGATGTGTTTTATTCCTTTCCAGATATTAATAATCTGCTCTGTATTTCCAACACATTGTGTGTTTTCTTTTGTTAAATTTCCAGCATTTGTTGTTTTTTACATTACATGTTCAACACCATACCCCACCTCTGTTTATTGGGTTGGTAAAAATGCTGTGGGCTGAACAATGGCTGGGCAGTAAAACATATATCACTTTAAACATAGTCTCCAGCGCTGCTAGTTAGTACCTTATAAATGCACTAATTCCTTTTCTTTCTTCCACAGATAACTAACTAACATTGCAGACAGATGGTGCCTGTGGATTTATTGCTTTGTAATTTTCAAACTCTGAGCTCTTCTTGTAACTCCAGCAATAGAAAAAGTTTCAGGAGTACGGAATTAATTAATGATTCAAACAGGAAATCAAGCAACAGGATTATCTTTACTTTTAGCCACCACTTTGATAACTCTGAGTGACTGCTGTAGTTATTGTAAAACTATGTCATGATTTGCAGTTTATCTTAATCAATTATGTACACTTATTAAAAACATTGGTGTGCATGACTTGCGTTGCATGATACAAAATGGTTTCAATAGGAACATAATGTAAGGAACTCATATTCTGTGCTACAATTAATCCCATTCTGAGTGATTAGGCATTCTGCTTTTGTTCATGTGTATTAGTTAATGAACATTCTTGTTGGTTACTTAAATACAAAAAGCAAAACACAAGCTACAATGGGTGTCGGAAAGAAAACCTCTTAAATATATATGTGTGTGTGTATTTATTTCTTTCTCAGTGGTACTTCTTATCTGAAGTATATTTGTTTGAAAAGGGGTGCTGATATTATTTAAAGAATTAGCTCACTGGGGATCTAAGGCTAACAGTGTCAAGGAACACAGTTGGAATAAATTGGCATGCCCGCACCATTTTCCTATGGTCCCTGGGTTTATATCAAGCTCAGATAGCTTTGTGCACAGTGGAAGTGACTCTACCTTTCGGCCAAAAGCCTGGATTCAAGCCCCATCAATGTCAGAGGTGTATCATGGCATGTTTGAATAAGTTGATTAAAATATCCATAAATTTCTTTGCTCTGCTGGCTGTGAGGTTGTGTCTGGGTGGGGTGCTCTTCAGAGGGTTGGTGTGGACGGGATAGTTAATCTTCTCCTAGTGAGGGGATAGGTGGCGTGAGAAATGGAAATGGCACATGACTGCATTGGCAGGTGGGTTCCTGAAACTGGGGTAAATTCACTTTGTCAGGACAGAATAGAGGAATTTGCCACTGTGCCTATGAAATGAGGAAGTATTCCTCTTCCCAGAGTGAGCAACCCTTGATAAAATGAGCTCTGTCTTCTTGTTTTGTTTTACCCCAGGCACCCCAGTCCGAGAAACAAAAAACATGAATAAAGCAAGGAAATTAAGATGATTAATTGAAACTCCTGTAGGAGTTAATTGCCATGTTGTTTTGTTCCTCATGTTGTGGTCAGACGTTCTTGTGTAATTTCCTGCAGCAATATCACTCTTGTCCTGGTGATTAGTCATTAGCAGGGGATGGCATAGTCCCCGGTCCCCACCAGTCTGGGGCTGAAACACCACAAATTCAATGATCAGATCCTTATTTAGCTGTGGTGGTCAAAAGGTGAAATCCAACAAACCTGAGGTTCAGGCTACAATTCGGAATCCTGATGGGTAAAAGCTAAATCCAAAGTTTATGGTTCCCATTCTTAAGGAGAACGTGGGAAGCACACCAATACTCTTTTTGAACTGAAACCCTGCAAACCCTGGAGCTGGCAGATTTTGTTGGATTTCCTGGAAGCTTGGATTGAAGTAAGGCTGAGATTTCTTGTGAGTGAGGGCCATCAACCATAAGACCACAGGATGTAACTACAGAATTAGGCCATTCGGCCCATCGAGTCTGCTTTGCCTTAGCATCATGGCTGATATTTTACAATGAAAGTACCAGGATTGATAGTCCATAGGATTTATGGTCCTTAACAAATTTGCCTCTTAAATGTTATGTAGATTGCTGACAACAATGTCTATTTAAATGTTGTATTTAATAGAGTAAAATATCCCAAGATTCTTCACTGGCGTATTCTCAAATTAAATTTGACACAACTATATGATTTATGACAAAAAGTTTGGTTCAAAGAGATAGCTGAAATAAATAAATTAAGGATGGAATCAGGTGTAGAGGTTTAGAAAGGGAATTTAGAACCTAGGGCCCAGGTAGCTGAAAGCTTGGCCACAAATGGCCAACCAGAGACGTCCATGTCCCATGAGCGAATAACAAAATGGTACAAATCTCAGAGGGTTGTAGAGTTAGGGCCATGGAGAAATTTGTAAACAGGGATGCTAATTTTGAAAGTGAGGCATGTTTAATGAAGGAAGTGTTGGCCAGTGAACACAGAGATAATGAAAGAAATTACTTAATGTAGGTTAGGTCATGGCAGCCAAAGATTTCAAATTTATGAAGGATGGAAGATGGGATGAATGTCAGGAGAGCATTGAATAGTCATGTCCAGAGGTAACAAAGATATGGATAAGTAATTCAGATGGTGGTCAATCTATGACTCTGTAAGTCAATGAGGTAGGCATTGGGTGCCGGCAGTCTACGTGCGCATATTAACTTCAGGCTTTCCGATAATCTCTCTGAGGGGCAACATGGTGATGAGAAACAGGAGCAGACCACAGGAATATCCTTGGAGAACACTAGAGGGTAATGGATTAGAAATTGAAACCATTGTAAGCATAATAGAAAAGAACCATCCAAGGTCAGGCCCACACAGTTGGAGAACAGAGGAGAACACATTTGGAAAAGTGGTCAACTCAGAACATGAGATTTGGCAGGGGATAACATTTTCACTGACAAAGGAGGAGGAAATAATTTGAGATCCTCTTGATATACATCAAATCCCCGAGACAAATAAAGCTTTGTCTCAAGACAGCCCAGCACCCAAGAGTACAAGCTTATTTCTCATCATCAGTGTAAACTATAACAAATAGAACCTTCCTTTTTATTGATCATTATAGTTTATGTATAATATTACAGTATTCAGTACTGATTTCTGCCAGTTAAGGTACATGGACTGGGTCTTGAATATCAAGATGTTAGGATGCTCAAGACACTCTAAGTACATATTGTGACCACGCATCATATCAATGATCACGAGCTGATCTCTCATTATTATTGTTATTATTTCTTTGAGAATTTTAATGACTGGCAGCTTATGTGACGCCAGGACCACATCATTAGTCCTGTTCAGGTAAGCCATTTTGTGAATTAGTGAAAGGCCATCTGTGCCTGTGAAGCAATATATACCTCCCACTGACATGGGAAATAAAATTGTTATAGAAAAAACTAAAACTGCTATAAAAGTATTCCATTTTATCACGATAGACCAGCAATTCCAACAAATGAGATCCTTATATTTTGAAAAATGGTGTGCTCCAAAAGGGATAGTAGGAAGGAAGGTTAGAAAACATAGTGGAGAGAAAACTAGGGATGAAGCAATAAAGGAATAAGTGCTATTATTTATAGATATTTTTTAGTCAACCCATTCAGAAATGTAATTACATATCTCTGGAGTATGTGGGACCTGAATGCAGAATTCTTGGTCCCCTCTATTATTTATAATCTTTAAAATTTAATGGTAAACACACTTTGCTCATTTTACATCTTATGTTTTTTCTGCTCCTCTAACTCCCTCTGCTGATGCTTTCCATAAAAGCAGCAAACTACTTGCAGGTTTATTTCCAAGGACTTTAACAGCAATCCAGGACTCCAGTGAACATTATTCTGATATAAGTCTAGATAACACACCCCATCTGTCCATTCCACTTACTACTGGGTTTTACATATCCCAAAAATTGCTACATAACCAGGCCTGAATGACGAGGTTTTTTTTTTGTGGGTCCATTTTTGTGCACGAAGTGGCTCCTGCTCAGTATCTAAACTCAACAAATACAAACCGAAAGAATTGCAGATGCTGTAAATCAGGAACAAGAATAAAGTTGCTGGAAAAGCTCAGCAGGTCTGGCAGTATCTGTGAAGAAAAAAATCAGAGTTAACGTTTTGGGTCCTTTGACCCTTACTCAAGGAATGTTAACTCTGATTTTGTTCTTCACAGATGCTGCCAGATGTGCTGATCTAAGCTCATCACTTTGATTTCCTTCTTTTGCTTTTCTTTTATTTGTGTCCTGCTAAATGTCTTGTACTTATCATCATGCCTTCACTCATTCCTTCAGCATTTGGCCTTGCTTTCAGCATTTTTCAATCCTTTCCTGCTGCCATTCTGGAATTGATTCATAAAAATGCAAGAATCAAGAGTAGAAGTGGAACATTTAACCCTTCAGCCTGCTCCACCATTCGACAAGATCATGGCAAATCTGACTGTGGCATCAACTCCAGTCTCCCCTCTACCCTCGTGCCCTTTGACTCCTTTATCAATCAGGAACCAATTGAACTCAGCTTTAAAAATAGTCAATGGCTATGTCTCGACTGTACTCTGAGGAAGAGAATGCCACAAATAACAACTCTCTAAGAAAACAAATCTCATCTCAATTTTAAATGAGAAAACCCTAATTTTTGAACTGTGTTCAAAAAGGGGAACAAGACTGTACACCATTTCCCAAATGCGGTCTCATCCAGGCTGCTTACAGCTGCAAATATGTACCTCTAATTTCATATTCATCCACCTTACAATAAACATCAACTTGCTTTATCTGCAGACTTATGCTTTATTTCTGATTTGTATACGAGGGCACCTAGATTTCCCTCCATCTTAGAGTTCGCAGTTTCTCTCCATTTAACTAACATATTTCTTTTCTATAATTCCTGCCAAAGTGCACAAGCTCATATTTTTCCACATTGTACTCCATCTGCCAAATATCTGCCCACTCATTAATCTATTGACATCTTTTTCTAGACGCTTTGGGCTGAATCTTGTTTTATTGGCTAATTCTGACATTCATTGAGTTGTTTGGAAAGATTTCTGCTGCAATGTCTGTCACATTTTATCACCATGCCTTGCCGAGCTGGCTGCACCAACCGCCTACCCTACCGCTATGGCATCCATCATATCCAATTCTGGCTCCATCTTACCACGTGCCATTCCCTGACAATTTGCCACTCAGAAGATGACTGCCAAAAGACTGCCATCCCTTGTGCCCACACCATTTTTGATAGGGCACTGTGTAAATGAGAAATAGCCTGTGTTCCATGTGTTGCGCAAATCAGCATGTCTATATAACAGTATTTAGAGCCTTTGGCTCTGGCTGAAGTGCTAACATACTAACAGCATGACACAGCAAGGCAATGCAAGCATGGATGTATGAGCTAACAGACCAAACACTGCAAGAGCAAGTGAACAGCCTTGAGTTGCATTCTCGTCCATTCCATGAGCTGGAATCCCTGTCTGTGGGCGCACTGTGTCCTAGCTGTAGTCTTTCAATGCCAGTTTCAGTACACCTTGCAATACATGTCTATGTTTCTGAAATGGCCTGCAGCTGTATTGGACAGGTGCCATGGTGGACACGAGGGATTGTCACGTATCAAATGTCAATTTCCATGGACGTGGGGTTGCACTTGACTGGTGCCTGAGGATTGAGCCCTGAGATTTGGTCATACACAACACCATTCAGTGTAAGTGAGGAGCCGAATTCACTAGGTACCCACTCTGGTGACCGTGTCAATTTTCTCAATATGTAGCTTGTTTGATGAGTTAGCTAAGATAGAAAGTTGAGCAATAATGGAGTCAGTTGAGCATTTAACAAGTCCCCTCGATTGTCATCTCACTGCTACCTAGTGAGAAACCCACCACATTCTTTTTGAAAAGCATGACAGATGGGCTTGTCAGATAGTCCATCCGAATCTGCCACAAATCTTATAACCCATGTGACTGAGACCCCTGTAAGATTATGCCCTTCTTATTCTCTTCACAACTTCCTTTCCCATCAGCAAACTTAGCTACCATACATTTGGTTCAGCCTAAACTGCTTTTCCTCCAGTTTGGCAACCAGTCATATATTCCTGCCAAAAAGTTACCTGTAATACAATGAGCTGCGTTGTAATCTTTAAAATAGCTCCTTCATAAGATAAGTCATAGTTTATTTTTATCCTTCTCTTGCTATCTTCTGAAGGGCCCATGAATGCATTCAGTGCTGCATCATTGTGAACAACAAAACAATGTGCTTCATTCTAATATTGTGCCGATATTTATGACAGTGTGACTGCTGGAAGCTCATCTTGACCTACCTGCTCGGTTATGTGCCTTCCACTCTCACTGCGAATTCCATGGGCTCTATCAGGAGATCACCTGAAACTGCTGCTCTCTGTGTTTCCCTTCAGAATATCCACTCGCCCATGAACATGGCCCCTGCCATCCCTGAGACTGTTGAGGATTATTGCATTCACATCATTGAATTGCCAGAAACCTGGGTGTTGATACATTCCCCTAAATGGAGATATCCTACCTGGCTTAAACTTCCACAGCTTGCATCACCAAGATAAGGTTATTTTTGGTCACTTCCTGGTGTCACACTCCATCCCCTTTCCCAAAATTTCAGCAATAGTACCCAAGACTTGTTCCCAGAGCCTGCTGCACCCCAAACAAGCTATTCCAATACAAATACAACGCTGGAATTTATGTACCAATGTAAAAAATTGCCCAGTTATGTCCTGTGCACAAAAAAGCCAATTAATGCTCTATCAGTCTACTCCTTGCAATAGGAAAAGTGATGAAAGGGGTCATTGAAAATGCCATCAAGTGGAGCTTGCACAGTAGTAACCATCTGACTGACGCTCAGTTTAGATTCCATCAGTCCTCTTCAGATCCTGACTTCATGACAACGTTGTTCCAAGCATTGGCAAAAGAGCAGAACTTCAGAAGTGAGGGGAAAGTGACTGGCCTCAAGGTAGCATTTGACTAAGGACAGCATCCATGACCCATACCAAAACTTACTTCACTGACAAACAGGAGGAATATTCTCTGCTGGTTGGAGTTATACCTAGCACAAAGAAAGATGATCGTAGTTGCTGGAGTCTGATCTTCTCAATCCCAGGACATCTCTGCAGGAGTTCCTCA